GGTCACTTCTTCAATTTCAATGGAATTGGTGTAAAGTGTAAACACTAATACGACTCGTAAGACAGAAAATTCACTATTAATATTATGAAGGTTGGATGAAATTTATATTATTTTATTTACTATTTTATATTTGTAAAAAGAATTCTCATATCATTTACCCTTAGAATTTAGATCATCATCAGTAACACAATGGTGAAACAGGTTTTTTCTTTCTAGATATCATTTTGAACCTAAAGTTATGCAATTGAGATTTTGGATCTCTGAAGACTCTACTACCTAATTAGACTCGTGGTCTAATCCAATTTACGAGATTTTAATAAAAGACGAAGCGTTTCGAAAGATGGTAAAACAAACTTCCCATTCGCTGCGCTATCGGCTTCCCTCACGTTATCATTTTTGTAGTTTGTCACATTGGTGAAACATTTACAATTTTGCAAAACGTGCTTTAATGAATAAATATATGTATTTTATTTAGAATACAAACTAAGTACCCTTTAAAATGTAAATAAGTAATTTTTTATATCAATAAAAACATAACATTATTAAGTAAAGGAAAACCCTAATTTTAAAAGTGAAGTGGCTAGACTTACAAATAATAATAATAATAATCAATTTTCTAAAAGATTTATTTAAATTATTCATTTAATCTTAAAAGAAAATTAAACACAAGAAAATATTTGTACTAGGTACGTAATTGAGGTGTTCATTACGACTTTACTAGACTATCTATAGCTATTTATTTAGAACATAAAAATGTTCTAATTTCCTTATTTAAATAAAGAGAAAAATATTTTTATCTCTACAAAATAAATTGTGGTATGGGTGATCTTTCAATAAATTAAGAAGTTCCGGTTTTACAAAGATTGTTTTATTATTTAAAAATTTGTTTACTTAAAATTGAATTGAACCACCTGTTTGTTTGTTCTTTAATGAATTTTCTTCCAAAAATAAATTTAAAATTCCAATTAAACGAGCACTTTTGTTTATTTCTTTTACAATAGTTTAAATAATTAATTAAAGTTAATATTTAATTATTAGTCTAATATGAATTAAACAAGGTGTCTCGTATCAAAGTGCACTGTTATTAACCATTGTATAGGCCCTCATGACTAGACAAAACTTTTGTACACAGACGATGTTCAAACTCAACAGGTTCTGAGCTACTGGGGCTTACAGTCAACTTCGACTGATTTTTTTTTAAGTTTTGAAATTTTAAGTCTAGCCTCGTTCCTGTGTTAAATAGGCACATTAATAAATATGATTTGGAAACCTCAGAATAAAGGCTTTCTGATGATTATCTACATTATTTATAATCTGTTCAGATTTCAGATGATTTTTGTATGATTTTTAAAATTCGTATAAATACTATTGTTCAAAGTTTATTTCTTACAGTGTAATTATAAAATAATTTTTAAAATATTAAAATTATTATATAAAATGGAAATCAATAATTGCAAAGAATTTCATAGGTTCGAAGGTACTCTCGAAAGATTTTAGAATTAGACCAGACGACAAAACAGTTTTCATTCTCGAATTGTGAGGCTTTCGAGTCAGTTTTTTAAAAAAGCACCTAATCTTTAAGTTTTTGCTGTAAGCTAGGCCACTATAATAGCCAAATCCAACTCTGTATAATTATTTAAAAGCTCATGAGATTTCCGTTTCAGTTAGGTGCTTACATTGCAAACTCAAAATTTTTAAGAAATTTTTTTGAAATAATTTAATGATTTGCTTACTTTTCTAGATATAAGTATGTTTTTAAAAACTTTGCTTCAGTTTAACAATGACTACTTATAAGATTTAGAACTAAGCAAGGTCAAAACAAGCTCAAATGTGTTATAGACCAATTATTACATATATAACATAATATCATGTATGAATATGCAAAAATTCACAAATTTGCCAAGGTATTCTTATAAAAATCAGAAGAAATATAAATTAAACTAACATGATATGGAGTAAATTACAAGTACTTATTACAACAGTATGTTCATCTGGAGGTGTGCGTTTCTACAATAAAATTAAACACAAAATGATCAAAAAAATAATTAATGTTTTTCTAAATATTTTCAACAAAATAAATTTATACAAAAAATTTTTTTTATATTATGAACGTTTAATTATATTTCATGCTGTGCATAAAATTATTTTAAATATTGAAGCTTTTTAGCACTTTTCTGAAAGAATAAATGAAAAAAAAAAGTTGTTAGTCTCACTCTGTCCGTCCATCTCGTCAAACCGTCCGCCAAACCATACATAAATAAATTTTATTTGAAATATACTACCTTCATAAGTTTCGTATGCTTCTCTTACATTTTCTTACTAAAAATTGACAATAATTTGTTAATCATCAATAGAATCTTAAATATTTATTTCCTGATCTTGAAATTGAATATAAGAATTTAAGAATACTTTCTAAATAAAGAAAAAAATGTCTAATTACAGAAAAGAAATTTTTATTGAGAAAAACGGCAAAATTACTTAATTAAGATTTAAATTATATTTTTCATTATCGGTTTTTAATTGATATTTGATATTTTAAGGAATTTCAGAATAATTCTAAGACAAGTATAATACTTGTAATACACGCATATTTGTCAATTATTCAATACTATAAATAAAAAATATGCAGAGAAAAATGTGACATTTTTACCATACGTCATATGAGTCATATCACATGTGAGGTATGGTAAAAATTACGTGACGTATGGTCGAATTATCAACGTCATTACAATTTATACGCGAAATAATTTGACTTCAAAGGCGATGTAATTGCTATTTCGTTATCTTGGGTTATGCTAGGCACCCCCCCCCTCCTGCTCCAACCACGTCTTTATTTGTTTTCTATTTTACTACAATTAATTTAAAAGTACCTATACTAAAAACATTTGAAATTAATGATTTTAATGACTTCATTTAAATATTTTTAAAATTATTAGAACTTAAAACATGAATACTTTAACTTACCATTTATATATATACGTATATGTACTTACATACGCTTTTACTTATTCAGTGATTTTGTTTTTTTTTATTTATTATCGATTATTTGAAAAAGTAAAAATATATTTTTTTTAAAACATAAAAACATTACACACGCTTAATAAAATCACTACGACATTATTGAAATTTTTCACAAACTATTCAACAATAAAACAAGAAAGAAAATAAATGAGATAGGTATTCCAAATTAAAAATTTTCCTCTTTAGTAAAAATTTTTTTCTAAAAATTTTTATATATGAGAAGGCTCAAAGTACATTGCTTTTATTGCGAATCAAAGGCGAATTATTTTATACTCATATCGATAACTGCATTTCATGTAATCTACTGAACCCATTATCTAATGAACTAATTCTAATTCAATAATATTTGAATGAACTTAATTTTTTTTATGTATTTGTATGAGTATGTACACCATATAATATTATATAGGTAGATATTATTTTAAATTTAAAAATCATAGAGTATAATGTAATTGATTTTTCGTTTAGTCCATCAATATATAAATATTATCAATATTTTATGTAAGTAGTTTCTAAATCAATGTGATTGCAAATAAAGTTATTTGAAACAAAAATAATTTTAGCAGCAACACGTTGAAGACAATATTCTGTGGCGAATATACGGTATGATATTTATTTGTTCTACATATGAACAATAAATATTTTGGTTTGATTAAGGCACTGCCACATTTATTGCCACAATTAAATATTTGAATTGTTTTACTTAACGATATCACAACCTGAGCAAAATGGACTTAGATTTTATTTATATACCTATTAGAGGCTATTTATATTACTATATATAATAAAGCTTATATGACAACATTATTAAATAGAAATTCCAAATTTTCCAATTTATTTAATTTTCCGGAAAATTAACTTGCTTAAAATTTCAACATAGGCAATCAATATTATACGGTTCGAACTACTTATGAGTTGCCAAAACTGATTATAACTAAACTAGCTCGAACAGATGCGTTTAGATGTTCTGTACAGTTACTTATTAATTTTTTTTACCGGTAGTTTGAAGTAGTATTTTTAATCTGAAGCAGATTGGTTTTATATATTCGAAATTATTTGAAATTATTTGAAATATCGTTTTTTATTAAGCTGACATTTGAACATTAAAAAAAATAGTTATATTAAAGAAATTGTTACTTAGACCAAAAAAATTTAAGGTTATGTTTTACTCATATAGTCCGAAAAACACGGTTCCATTTTTAATGGAACGCAAATAGTTATTATTGCATTTAAAAATTGACATATAAACGATATACGTTATTACCTTACGATCAATTGCATTTTTTTTTATCCTCCATTATTAATCCACATTCTATAAAATTGTACATTTTACTTGTATGTATGTTTGTATATTTTTATAATAATTGTATGAAAATTTGTACATGTGCATAATATAAAAAGAAGAAACTATATTTATATAAGATCTGTAATAAAACGAAAAAATCACACTTTTACTTTCTTGTTTGCAATATCATTATTATTAACATCAAAAACTAACCACCCCAACTAATTCTGTTTCGTCCAATATTTGAAACAAAAACAGAAAAGTAAACACAATTTGCTCTCAAAGTTCTTATCGTATTTCTATTCTTACATTCTAGGTACTTAAGCTACAAACTATAACAAGTGGTAGCAAAGCGACCACTTTAAAATTCTGTTATACTACTACATTTCATTGGCACTTCGTATTGTATAAAAAAAAAATAATAAAATAGTTTGCGTTATTGTTTTTTTTTTGCAGCATTAAAAATAGTATTGTAGTTGTAGTTTGCAGTGTAGTACTAAATATAGCAGCGCACTTATAAACTTTTAACACGTTTAATTTTAAGTCGACTAGGCTTGTTATAATTTTTTTTTTGTTTTGTTTCTTTTTTTTTCTTCTTTTCATTATTTATTTTTTAGAATAAAGAAAAAAAAAATTTTTTTTTTTTAAATTTTTTCAATTTTTTTATATTCAAATTCAGTCGACTTTAGAACAGTCTAAAGAACCGTTGTGTATTTTATTGGTTTTTTTTTTCTTTTTTGGTGAAAATAATTTTTTTCTTAATTTTTTTGGTGTTTTTGTTGACGCCGGGCTATACGCGCAAACTTAAACGCATTTTTATTTAAAGCGGTAGATTTTTTTACCACATTGCGTTGAAAAAAAAAAAAATCAATAAAAAATTAAAGAAAAAAATCGTGTAATTTTTATTTCATCTTTATTAACGGTTTATCAAAGAAATTTTAAAGAAAATCCATAAATTTTTTTGATTTTCTTTTTGAAAACTCAAGGTTAATAAATTTCTTATTTTTACTTCAATGTTTATTTAAAGAATTGGAAAAATAATAAAATAATAATCAATATTAAAAATAAAAAAAAAAAAAAAAACATTTTTATTAATAAACAATAAAAAAATAAATTTTAATATTTAAAATTGCGGATAAAATAAATACAAGTGTGTAGTTTGAAAAGGTTTGTGAAAGTAAATGGCAAAGGTCAGGAAATTTATGAATTAGGTTTTTTGATTTATGAGATTTTCGAACAAAATTTCAAATGACTGAAAGTTTTCTATATGTCCAAGTTATACTCTTATTAAATTTTACACAATTGTGAATATTAATATTTTGATTAGGTTTACACAAAATATCTCATGGTATAACAATAAAGATATTCTGAACATTTTACTAATTTTGAATATTTACTTTTACTAATTTGGGATTAACTTTATTTTGTAAATTAAAAAGTAAATATTTTGAATAGTAAAATGTTTGGAAATCAATTCAAAATCAGATTTTGCTCAGTTGCCACCCTGCTATTTAAAATTCTTATGATATTTTTGATAATGCTCAGAGTTTTTCTTCTAAATTTTAAACTTCAATCAAGATCATTTCGTTTCCAGTCATTTTTTAACTGCTTAAAACATTTTTACTGCAAGTAACACTGTTTAACTAATTTTAACGAATAATTCAATAAGCTTTCAGAATCAAACCTATAATATGGGCGCGCTATAAAATAAAAATCTATTAATTTTCTTAATTTAAAAAACAAAATATGATTATACACTCGGATTTAAACAGATCCACTTAAATGAACAGGTTGGCAAAAAATTATTGTAAATAATTAAAAAATAATGATGAAATTTAATGATTTTTTTTTGGAAATTATAAATAAATTTCTTATATTCACAAAAAAAAAATTTAAAAAAACTACACATTGTTCGAACATAAGCGCTTATAATATATAAACAATAAAATTTTCTATTATGAAATATAACGGTTTCTAACGGTTTATAATGGAACAGATTCATTTTATCCGCAAATTTTAAATTAAAAACAAAAGTGAATAAATAATATAAAAACAAAAAATAAAAAAAAAAATAAAAAAATATAAAAAAAAAATATTTGATCTTCGGAAATTTTGATTTTTTTTTTTGCATTTCTTTTTTTTTTTAAATATACTAAAAAAATTTTAGTAAAAAAATAAAAAAAAAATTTTTTTTTTTGAAAAAAATTATTGTAAAAAGAAGAGGAAAAATGTGAATACGAAGTGAATTTCGACTTTTATTTTTAGAAAATCTAATAAAAAAAATATGTGAAATAAAATAAATAAATAAAAATAAAAAATTTAAAGCTAAAGAATAAAAATTTTTTTTTATTTGAAAAATTTTTTTTTTTCAAATTTTTCTCTGTGTCATTTTCTCATTTTTGAAAATTTCACTTTTAAAAAACACAAATTTTATTTTGAGGCAATAAGAAAATATTTTTTTTTTTTTGTTTTTTTTTTTTTCTAAAAATTTTTTTCTTTTAAATCATCATTAGTGAAAAAGAGAAAAACAGTGCCGAGCACTATTTTGTTGTAAACTTTGAAAAATACAAGAAGAAAAAAATAAAAATTTTGAAATTTTGAAAAAATTATATTTAAAATTATTTTTTTTTTTCAATGAATAATTAAATTATTAAAATACACTGAGAAAAATTTTTTGGTTAAAAAATTTTAAAAAATCACATTGAATTTACGATCACAATAAGTTGTTTTACAAAGTCTGTTGTATTTTGGTCTGCTCTATTTAATTTTGTCAGATTAATTTGTTAACTTTAAGTTTTTCTTGAATTTTGTTTAACATACAAAAATTGTTTGTTATAAGAAAAAAAAAACTTAACCTACACCAACATGTCAAACATTGATATTGAATTTCAAAAATTTCTTCTTGAATGAAAAAAAAATATTATTTTTATTTTTTATTTATTTTTAGAGAAAAAAAAATATTCTAAAAATTGTGTCGAAAAATTTATTCGATTACAAAGTTTTGTTTTTGAAATTTTTATTAGATATTTCTAACTGTTATCTACATATACCTATTATACATAATCAGCGTAAATATTTCCAAGTATTTATAGTGGTTCAACTGAAATTTTGTAAATATTAAGTAATATTTTCCAATAACTTTTATGGTTAATAAAAAATTAAGAGATTTAATAATGTAAAGCGATAATTTTGAAAATATTTTTTGAAGCCCTTTTTGATTAAGAGGATTATCCCTTTTCTTTCTACCTTAAGTTCTTAAAAATAAATGAACTGTTACTGAAGTAGTACTGTATCTAATATAAATTCAAATATTAAAACAATTACTAGATCGTTTAGTTTAAACATTTGGTTTTCTAACTTTACTCTAGAGCATTTGGACCTTTCAATTGACTTTAGAATCCAATATCAATTTTATGAGTCATTGAGTTAACTAAGCGGTGACTATAGCCATAACACACAATTTAAGTATAACTAAAAAACAGTCGAAAAATCTTATTTCGAAAATAATTGAATTTGTTTTCAAAAAAAGTGAAATGAACAAAACACTTTATATAGAATATTTTTAAACTATAACTTTCACAAGCATATATATACTTGTTCTTCTTCTTCGATTCTTCACTAAAATAAATTGTACAGTATAGGTATTTACTTAAAAATTTAATTCGGAATAGAAAAATAGCTGTCCTATTTCTGTTGATGCTTTCATTTCTTTTGGAAATTATCAAAATATTCCAGAAACAATTAACAATTTCAGTTAATTTATTTTATTAATGATGTAAAAATAAAAGGGGTACAGAATTATTGTTTATGTCAATAATCAACAGGTGTTTCAATGAACTTTTCAAATTTAAAATTAGGGCTTTATATTACAAAATCAAATTTATTTTTAAATTTCATAATATTTATGTTTGTAATTTATATACTTATTTAAAATAATATTTATGGTTTTCCTTTTTATCTTAAAATAGAATTATCAATTTTTTTTTTTTTGTAGTAAGAGAAGAATGTACACAAGTAGCGTTTATTTTTAATTTATTACACCTGATACGTGAACATTACAATATTATTTAGTATATACACAGTACGTGTTCTTTATAAAATTTTAAAAAGAACACCCCATTGATTTTTTAAAATTTTTAAAATTTAAAAAATTATTTTGTAAATACTTAAGATAATTTAGCGCACTTAATCGAAAAAACTGGATCATTTACACATGGATCATTTGCACATTTATTGGAATTTAACACAATTTTTGTATAAGCACACTTAAATACTCGTAAATTTTTATTTAATTCTTACTTATTTAATAATTTATTCTGTAATCATCTTTAAACAATATTTTCTAAAGATTTAAATTTTAATTCTAAATAAAATATTTTTATTTAAACAATTCTATACCTAAGTACACAATCACTTTTAAACTAATAATATGAGAATTTAAATTTTCATTTTTACGTGCACACCTCCAATTATAATTGGTGCACGTAAAAATGAAAATTATTATGGTAACATAAATTTATTTAATAAGCTAAAACGTACGTGCCAATAATCATGAAGTTGTTTTTATTTTTTTTTAAATTCTTTTCAATTGACCATCCATAAATGGACGATAAAATTCAAATATTTCATTCTATATAGTTAAGTATATAGTTTGTTTTAAATTAAATAAGGTTAGTAAGAGATTCAATAATTAAAATAAAATTTCATCTTGAATTTCAAACATTTTTTATTTTCCTCATAAATTTTATATGAATCAGCTGAATTTACATAATATTGAAGATACTATTCATTGTGTAAAATCGATCATATCTATTTATTTATACATAATATATATATATATTTAAATTAACAAAATAGAACCAAGGCCCAGAAATTTTTAATTTGATATTTTTTGATACAGTAAATAAATTTTGTAAACTAAAATCAGATTTAATCGATATCACACACAAACACACAGAATTAAAAAAAATTATTATATTTTTTTTGTAAAGGGTGATTTTTTAAATATTTTCAATTGAATATAAAATTTAATTTCAGCTAAACATAATATATATAGAGAAATAAGGTAAAAATTGAACGTATCCACACGAAAATAATAAAAAAAAGCATCAAATCGTATGATCTCGGCTAGCAGCAAACAGATCTATAACGTGGAATTAATATTTTTTTTTATAAGTAGTATTAATTATAAATTAAATTAAGGAATTTTTCACACGTTATTCTCTTAATTATGAAATGCTAGACCAAAGCTAGACCAATTATGTGGTTGATTCGACAATTATAAAAATACAGATTAAAATTTTTCTCAGTGTATATTTAAAAATATTATATAATAATTGTGATATTTTTGTAAAAATTATAATATATTATTTAAAATAGTAGTTTTAGTGATTTATTTTATTTTTTTTTTTTTGCTATACAGTTGATATTGCAATTTAAAAAATTTTTTCTAACAAAAAGAAAACATTAAAAACTTTTTGAGCTTCTAAAATTTCGGGATAATTTTGAACGAGCAAAAGATTATAGCAAAATTATTAACGGTAAGTTTCAAATTTATTTAACAAATTCCAAACTTATTTAATAATTAAATTGTTTTGAATCCAAATTTCTTGAAAAGAAATATGGAATTTAATTATTTTAAATAAATTATTTCCTAAGTTTAACTATAATACACGAGTATCTACTTGTTTTTTGGTAATTACTAATTATTTAGGTTGTTTCTCGGAAATTATTCATTCAGAAATTGTAAAATTATTAAAACCAAACAGCGAATCAGCCAGATAGAGTTTCAATTGGATATTATAATTACAAGTTAACTGTACTTTTGTAAAATTAATTGGAAAATTGAAAAAAAATATCAACAATAAAAATATATACATATAGTATCTACATAAAATGTGTAATTGTTAAACGTTTTCAATTACATAAATATTTTTTCATTAAATATTGGGTATTTCGAATCAATAAACAAAAATATAAAATAAATGACTAGATAGATTGAATTAAAAACTTAAGTAAATTTTTTTTATCAATTGTTTGTGAAGGGTTAAATTTTTTTTTTCTTTATAAAAATATCTGATTGAATTAGTAGACGAAATCAATTTCTTGTACGTAAAGTAGTAAATTTTCTGGTAGTTAATTAATTAAAATTATTCTTCACTTATGTATTCATATTGCATAAATTTAGGGGAAATACTAAAATCAAGGTGATACTAACATACTATATGCATATTGAGGCAAAATTAATCTCTTGTGAACTAACATATTTGATGTAAAAATTTTAAATTTACTTAAATCTTTATATCTATTAAAATTATTCCCATATTAGGCATTCTTATTGCATATATATAGGGTAAACACTAAAATCGAAGAGATGCTAACATAATTTATGTTAACAAAGTGCGTGTGTAACTTAATATTGGGAGGAACAAAACAAAAAAAATAAAGGAAATATTTTGTAAATAATTAAAATTTCAGATTTCTACAACAAAAAATATGTAAGTAAATATAAAATTTGAGAGCTACTGTTGTAGTCACATTTTATTTAAAGATTTTGTTATATTGACACTTGATTGTATGTTTTTTTTTTTAATCACACTATAAATACAGTTTGTTATAGAAGAAGGGATTTGTCATATTTTGTTGCATTTGCCGAATAACAGATTTCAATGAAAATTGTCACAAAACAAAATTCATAACCATTTTAGTACTTTTAAGAAGAGTAACAATTTACTTTCACAAAAATAAAATAAAACAAGTTTACCCTATCCTAAACAGCGTAGAATAAATAAACCAATGGGTAGACGGACCGGACCAACTAAATAATTGAATTTTGTTCATATTGTTTGAAAAGCAGTGGAAAAAAAACTAAATACATTTGTGTGTAGATAAAAAGAAAAGTGGATATTTAGTTAATTTTTTTTTGTATTGGAGAATTTTTTCGTTGAATATGCAACGAAAAATTGATTACAATGGCATCTACTCACTTAATTTTAGATAATGATAGTTACGTGTATGTATACTGTATGTGTTTTTTTTTACTTTATCACCTTATGTCACCTATATTTAGTATTTTTAGTAATTGATAATATCAAATCAAGGTGTAAGTACATTATTTATAGTAGATACGCCAGTCGAATTTTATATTTTCCCTTCTCGTTCTATTGCGATTAAGAGATTGTCTTTTTTCTTTTTTGAGCACTCTTGAAAACTATATTAGTCCAATTTACGCTACATAAATAATTGTTTGCACCATATACATTTAAACTTATTAAGTAAATATGTGCCCTTACTTAAATTATTTTTATTTTTGATTTTTAACTTATCAATTTATCATACACTTATATACTTACATATATCGTATACTTATACATACATAAGTAGGTGTACATGGCTAAGTTCGATCTTATATTCAAGAGAATATCAAAAAATCGTATTGTATTTTCGAGTGTTTAAATGAATTTTATAGTATCAGTATATTAAAAAAAAATTAAACAAACAAGATATTGTAAATTGTTTTAAATACACTCTCGGTAAATTTCCAAAATATTGAAAAGAAAACAGAAAAAGCTGTGCTCGAAAATGATTTTTTATATTAATTTTTTTTTGTATTTTTTTTTTTGTTATTAAAATATTTGTGATAACCAAATTGTCAAATGGAAATATTTTGATATTTTAACATCACGAGATCGCAAAATAAACAGATGTGTAAATAAACCTTTTATTTATTAAATAATGTATGACATCAGAAAAATATGGTGGAAAACAATAACCGAAAAAAAAAAATGTTAGTTGGTTCAATAAACTATCGGACCATCAGCTGACTTTCACTGTTCAACATATTGGAATCATAACACTTGAATACACATCCTGCAGTAGTTATGAATTTAAAGATGAAGCGACAAGTAGTTTAGAAAATGAAGTGTAAAGGTCCATAATAGAAAATCGAAATTAAAGGAATAATTTGAAACTAGTTATAAGCATTTAATTATTAGTGTATATCCTGAATATGTACACTAAAATTGAAATGGCCGAAAAAAAACAACTATTTTTGCAAATTTTTAATTTAATTTAGAAAATTTTCTTGTTCAAAATATTAAAAATATTAACAACCCCCAGATTCTGTTTATTTAACTCTATTAAATATTGTTACCAATTTTATTTGTAATATTTCTATCTATACATTGCAATGCATTCAACCAGGGAAAAGCTCAATTTACCTCGAATCTTTTGAACTATTTTCAAAAATTTCGTGGAAATTTAAGGAACCAGTTGATTTTCAATACTTTTAATATAATATAGGGGGCAGGAAAACAAAAATAAATGAAAACTAAAAAAAAATATACAAACATAAGACTTCATTAACTCTTCTGTTGTAAAACAAAAAATGTTAATAAACAATAATTGCCATTCTAGAGCAATCTTATATTCAATTAAAAAAAGAATGCCAACAAAGTTAAGAAGGAAACAAATTAATTTAATGAATAGCACATGTACATATATATATGTATATACAAATGAACTAATACAATATTTGCCAAAATAAACGGAAGGCTTATTAAGGTGAACTTAAACAATAACACGCATTCGTAATTTTATTTCTGTTAAAAATCGGCCTGGTAAATATCATGACGTGAATTTTGTTGACGTGCAAGAAAAAATTTTGTAAAATAATTTTTTATATACCCTAAGGTTTTTGAGCTCTCATTTTTTAATTGGAAATATGTGTATGTAGGTATACTGCGGTACTTAATTACTAACTTGAAATTAAAAAAATACTGAAAATTTTATATAGAAAACAGTTTTCCTTATTATTCACGTTTTACGATTCACAGGTTCGATAAGGAAAAAATGTGCTTATTCTCCAAAACCATGCAACAAATGTGCTCATTAATTTCAACCTATTTGTCCGACTATGTGTTTTTTTTTTTTAAATTACACCGATCTTTAAGATACTGGCTCCTTCTATTACGAAAGAATATAATTACAATTGGTAAAATTTCCGCTAACATTAACCGTTATCTAAAAGATTTTTAATTTTTGATATCTGGTAAGATGTAGGAGTCTAATATTTTTCTTACTGCCTCCCAACTATCGATTTCGAATTATTGCCTCGAAAAAAGTAAAATTTAAATTTTCAACAATTTTCTATTAAAAAATAATTTCAATCTTACTGTAGATTGCTTTTTAAGTAAAAAAAAAGGAAGTAAAACTTGTTCAAGGATTTTCGAGCTTACTCATTTTATTGAGGCCTTTAGAATTTTGAACTATATGTACCACAAAAGATTTTTTTAACATTAAGTAATTTTCAAAGTTTCAATAAATTTCGTACGAAACTGGTTGGATTAGAGAAAACTAAAAAAAAAAACTGAAAAATTGGATTTTTTTAAAGTTCAAATGCTTGGTATGTCGAAAATATATAAGATCCCTCTACCTCGAAAACCGTTGACATTCGACACCTGAATCTTAACAGAAAATGTACTCATTTTTGATGCCATAAATGATGATATATTTCATGTCACTGATTATAGATTCACTCTGTATATGCATATATGTAATTGTATATTTGAGTACCATGCTAGTAATACAAAATAAAATTTTGATTTAATTCTAATGACATCTTGTAATTAATGAAATCTCTGTCCCTGGACTCTATTAACTAACAATAATATAATGTATATTTTACAATTTGAAAAATGTCAAAATCTCACGTTTATAGCATTCCAAATATGACATACTTATATATACATAGTTAGATATATACTCTTCTTAGTTTTATAAACATTATTCACAAGTTGTGTCACGGTACACATTATGACTTAAGACAATCTGAAACTTAATTGAAATCTATCATTGCGACCTAATTTTCTGTTAAAGTATCAAAGTATTTTGAACATTTTAATTTATGTATACGTATGTAAACATTATGTTGGGATCAATAGTTTAAATTTCAAATAAAAATTTTTTGATTTTTGTTCTATTAATAGGTTATTTTTCAAAATTATTACGCGAAAGAATTTTAGTCTTAACGCCATATACATGCATACATATGTACATCATATAAAAAAACTATATACGTGAATGATATGAGTGTATATACTTGATAATTACATCTATCAACCTAAAATATACTTACAAGCCCAAATCATTATTGTTACGCACCATTAATAATGGGAGCTTTTTTTTCCAATATATAAATATAGTAGTAAATATTCTGTGGTAATAAGGAAAAACCAAATAATTCTAAGTCTGAGTTAATTCTATTACTAAGTCAAGTGAGTTTAATTTTGAATTAGTCTGGGAAAAAATTGGTTGTGCTTAAAAAAATTTGGAAACGTTGACCATACCATCAAAATTCTCTATTCGAAAATCGGAAGTAATTTTCATTTATCAATTTTGAATCTACAACAAGATTCAATTAGAAAAAAAAACTACAATTGCATTAGAAAAATATGTCATGTAGGTACTTTTAGTTTTGGTAATCCACAGCACTTTTATTAATATCAAAAATGTAGTCATTTTCTGGCTTGTGGTTAATATC